GTCTGAGAAAGGGACTTGAAAATTCAAATAAATTAGTTCTAGGTCGTCTGTCTTTGTCAAAACTCGTCATGGCATTCGCTGCAGGAACGCGAAAATCGTGTAAAGTACAATTTCGTGTGAGGTTGCCGAGTGATTTTGGTGTCTACACTTCGTTAAGTTAAGACAAGACCACTAAATGAAAAAAAAAGCGGCCGTGTTTTAGGATTGCCACTTTTCTTCAAAATCAATCAATCAATCAATCAATCAATCAATCAATCAATCAATCAATCAATCAATCAATCAATCAATCAATCAATCAATCAATCAATCAATCAAACACAACTATCTGTAGGATAGTATAGGAGATTAAGTTAATGTTGATCAATACGCGTCATTTTAAGTCACGCGGTGCCATTTTATGTAACTTTGCCTTGATGTTAGTGAGCACAAAAACCCTACACTGAGCTAACCAACTAGTCTAATTGATGAAATATTAAGTACGATTCGAATGACGATTGTACTTAAAGCATTCAGGTTTTGGTTAAAGCTTAAATGTGCTGCACTGAAAAGGGAACACACATAATTCTTGCATTGATAGCGCTTTATTGCGTCTGAATATACAAGGCCTCTGGAATTTAAGACATAAAATAACTTTAAAATTTATTCAGCATATATACTGAAAAAATATCGGATAATCATAGATAGGGTATATAGGGTGGTCTAAAATGAGACATGGGGCAAAATGAGACATTTTGACTTTGCCGGCTTCTGTAGCCAATACGAAAACTAGTTTCCCTTTTTCTCTTTTCCAGCAATAAGTGCTGGTCCTTGTCGGCCTTTTCATGTGTAAAGGTTGATGTTTTGGGACGTTAAACTCCACACATCAATCAAAGGTTAATGATTGCTCACAGCCTTCGCGCGGGAAAAATTATACGGCTGGTGTCAGCGTGTTCATGACCCGTCAAAAGGGTGAAACTCCGTTCGGCCAAATTTTGGATCCGTGCGTGAAGCTACTCCTGCGTCAGTACAACAAAGTAAATATTTGTTTTGTTACTTTAGACTACGAACTTCATAACACCAAAAGTTTAGTTCGTTTGGTGCTCGGGAACAAAGCGGTTTTTTTTTAAGTCTGGCATGTGATAGGGGCAAAATGCGACAAAAAGGCATCCTATTGCCTTACAGAGTGTCTTAATTATTGAACCACTAATATACAATCATGATATAATATAGCTCCTTGCTTAGGAAGGTTCAAACATACAAGAAAACAATATATAGAGGTTCTCCATAAAAAAGCCACATAAAAAGCACTGTTTGTCGTTCAGAACGTGACTCCTTTCATTTGCGCTACGTGAATGTTTTTCCGTCACGGTTGCAAGGATGCTCTCTAGAGACGCGTAAAAAAAAAAGATCGTGGAAACTTTAAGTCAAAAAACTTCCCAAACACGTCTTGGGGTTGCGTTTCAACGACTCTAAACGAACAAGCGCTAGAAAATCTGAATAGCACAGTTTGAAATTCATTGCCTCACAAAGCCCGGTGGACAAAGCCATAAAACGCCTGAGCAGTTCTGCATCAAAAATGTAAAAAAGAGGTGAACATATGTAGAAAAAATACCCAGACTCTAAACGTTGAACAATCCAATTAGGTGCAAAGGTTCAACGAAAGACAACATTAGCACAAAGAACGACTGGCGGTGCTTGATCTGCATGGTGTTTCGGAGCAGCACAACGCCACGTTCTTTCTAGATTCAATGCATGGCGTTCAAGGACTGGGCTCCTTGAGGTTGCGTAAGGACCCGCAGTGTAAACTTTGAGCCTTTCTGCTGCAAAAACTGAAGGAATGTTTTTTCACACGGTCTCGTTTTACCCCACGCAGCGTCTCGTTTTGCCCTGCCGGTTGGGACAAAATGAGACCCCTGGAGCATTTTTATTTATTTTTAAAATAATGGGTATGAATGGTGGCAACATGACAACATATATGTAGCACATGCCTTGTGCCCAAAAGAAAGTTTGCGCATTTATGTTTGATTGTAAGGAGTGAAATAAAAAAGAAATAATCACTATTTAAAAAATTGTCGCATTTGACCCCACCCCATCCGACATACAAGTTCAATAATCTGCACTTTTATAATAATCGTTACATTTGAAGGGATCTTACAAAGAGTCTGACTGATAACGTAAGACTTTTGGTGATTGTCAATGAATAATCACCGTTGCAGTTGTTCCAACGACACTTATAAAACACCCCCAGACAATAAATAAGTGCTACATTATGGCAAAAAAAAATCCACGAATTGCGGCCGGTTTCGAGTGCGAACCGGCCACCATCCTGCTATCTCAAAAACCTGCTGCGCCGGTCTAAAACCGGACAGGTAGAGATTCTAAGTTCGCAATGTGGCCTTTTGTACCACGTCGTTTTCTGAACCTTTTTGACTGATCTTGCATAACTCAGGGTTCTTGCCTAGTACGCCTTTAAAAAAGCTCGCTCGTAGACGAAGAGACTTCAAGCTTGCGCGACCCCTTT